TGGGTATATATCAGAAAAAACAAAAACACTAACTTGAAAATATACATGCACTCCAATGTTCATAGCAGCATTATTTACAGTTGTCAAGATATGGAAGCAACCTAAGTGTCCATAAACAGATAAATGGATAAAGAAGATGTGGGACATACACACACACACACACACACACACACACACACACACACACACACACACATATGATGGAATGTTACTCAGCCATAAAAAAGAAATATTGCCATTTACGGTATTACTAGAATCTTCCCTCTTGATACTGCTTTTGCTTCATCCCATAGATTTTGGTAAGCCATATTTCCATTTTCATTTGTGTCTAATTTTTAAAAATTTCTCCTTTGATATCTTTGTTGACCCAGTAATTGTTCAGTAGCATGTTGCCTAGTTGCCACATATGTGTGATATTTCTGGCTTTCTTCTTGTAGTTGATCTCTAGTTTCACACCATTTTGATTGGAAAAGATGCTTGATATGATTTTAATCTTCCTAAATTTATTGAGACTTGTTTTGTATCCCAACATATGCTCTATCCCTGAGAATGTTCCATGTGCACTTGAGAATAATGTGTATTCGGCTGCATTTGGATAGAATGTTTTATATATGTCTATCAAATCAATCTGGTCTAAGGTTCATTTAAGGCTGCTGTTTCCTTGTTGACTTTCTGTCTAGATGATCTATTCACTGATGTAAGTGGGGTATTAAAATCACCTACTATTATTTTGTTGTCTCCCTTTAGGTATGTTAATAATTGCTTTATATATTTTGGTGCTCCTATGTTAGGTCAATATATATTAATAACTGTTATGTCTTCTTGACAAATTGTCCTCTTTACCATTACTTAATGTGCATCTTTGTCTCTTGCTACCATTTTTGCCTTGAAGTCTATTTTTTCCCATGTGAGAATGGCTACACCCACTTTCTTTTGGCTCTCATTTGCTTGGAGTATCAACTTCCATTCCTTCACTTTGAGCCTATGTTTCTCTTTAAAGCTTAGATATGTCTTCTGGAGGCAGCATATAGTTGGGTCTTATTTTCTAATCCATCCAGTTATTCTGTGTCTTTTGTCCATTCACATTTAAGGTGATTGTTGATAGATGAGGACTTAGAACTGCCATTTTATCTTTTATTTTCTCGTCTCTCTGTATCTCCATTGTTCCTTTTTTTTTTTTTTTTTTTAACATCTTTATTGGAGTATAATTGCTTTACAGTGGTGTGTTAGTTTCCGCTGTATAACAAAGTGAATCAGCTATACGTATACATATATCCCCATATCTCCTCCCTCTTGCGTCTCCCTCCCACCCTCCCTATCCCACCCCTCTAGGTGGTCACAAAGCTGATCTCCCTGTGCTATGCGGCTGCTTCCCTCCATTGTTCCTTTTTCCTTGTGTTTCTGTCTGCCATTTTAGTATGGTGGTTTTCTATGATGTTTTTCCCAATTTCCTCTTGTTTTTATGTTTCCTCTCTCTGCTCTAGATTTATGTTTTGTGGTTACCATGAGATTTGTATGAAACCTATCATGGATAAAATTATTCTTTTTCTGCTGATAGTATCTCATCTTCATTTGCCTACATGGGTTTCCTCCTTTTCCTCTTCCCTTTTTACATTTTTGTTGTCTTAAATTATTCCTTTTTGTGTTGTTTGTTACTAAATTAAAGTAGCTAGAGTTATTTTTACTGCTTTTTTCCCTTTAAACTTTATGCTGTAATTAAGTTTTTAACAACCTATTCTGATATAGAATAAGTTGCAATTTTTTTATTCTGTCCACTTACCATTTTACTCAAAGTTTTGTGTACTGTACTTTTCCCTTTTCATTTCAGGTAGAAGAGCTTCTTTCGACGTTTCTTTTAAGGCACATCTAATGTTGATGAGCTCAGTCAGCTTTTGTTCGTCTGGGAACGTCTTTATTTCTCCTTCATATCTGAAGGATAACTTTGCTAAATAGAGTATTCTTGGGTGATGGTTTATCTTTCAGTATTTCGAGTATGTCATTCCACTTTCTCCTGGCCTGCAGAGTTTCTGCTGAGAAGTCTGCTGATAGACTGATGGGGATTCCTCTGTAGGTTACCATCCTTTTTTCCCTGGCTGCCTTTAGAATGTGCTTTCTTTGTCATTGACTTTTGACAGTTTTAATATACTGTGTCTTGAGGAAGGTCTTTTTGTATTGAGGTAATTAGAAGTTCTCTTGGCTTTGTGGACTTGTCCATCCAGTTCCCTCCCCAGGTTTGGGAAGTCCTCAGCTATTATTTCTTTAAATAAACCCTCTGCACTCTTCACTCTCCCTTTTCCTTCTGGGATACCCATTACCCTAATGATGCCCTTCCTAAAAGAGTCAGATGGTTATAGGATTTCTTTACTTTTTAGATCTTAATTCACTCTCTTCTTCTCCCTGTATCATTTCTAGATTTCAGTCTTTAAGCTCACTAATTCTCTCTTCCATGTGGTCTGCTCTATTTCCAGTGCTTTCTAATGCATCCTTCATCTCAGTTATTGAGTTCTTCAGCTCCGGAATTCCTGTTTGGTGCTTTTTTTGAACTTCAGTCTCTTTGGTAAAGTATTCCTTCTGTTCATTCATTTCATTCCTGAGGTCATTGAACTGCCTTTCCAAGTTTTCTTGTAGCTGGTTGAGTATCTTCGTGACAGCTATTTTGAATTCTCTATCAGATCACAACATTCCATGACTTTAAATTTGGTTTCTGGAGGACTGTCATTTTCTTTTTATGGTACTCTGTTACCATGGTTCTTCATGGGGCCTGATGAGTGCTCCTCTGCCAGTGCATTTGAAATGGTGAACATGTTTCTTCTTTAGGTAAAGCTTTTTTTTTTTTCCTCACTTGATTGTAGCTATTCAATAGGTTAGTAATTAGATGCCTTTCTTTTGTTTCCCAGTAGGTGGCGCACAAGTTTTTGGCACAAGTTTTTGGTTTCTCTTACCCGCGCTGCCTCTGGTTATTTTTGAAAGCTGGCACTTTCCACCCTCCACTGTCTGTGTTAGAGGTGTCGCCTGGTGCCCTCCTTGTCACTATTTCTGTCTCCAGGGTTGTTGGTTCCTTGCTGCTGCCGGTGTTGCTGACAATGCCACCTGGGGGACGGAGATGGCAGGCACTGCCTTCACAGTCCCTCTGGTTCCACCTACTTTATGTGTTCCAGTCCACCCACCCTTAGATGACAGATGTGTGGAACTCTCCAGCATGCTGCTGTGTTGAGCCGAGGAACCTTTGTTGAGTTATGGATGTTTTACTGGTTTTACTGGTCGTAGTTTGAAGGGGAGAGACAAAGGGAGTGTCTCACACCCCCCATGATGTTGATGTCACTCTTCCAAATGGGCACATTTTAAATACATTTGATAGGATAATAAGGGTAAACTTTTCTGTGTTTTACTAAGCAATAGATCTAAATGGAATCAGAGGAAAGTGGTCTTTGTTAATGTTTACAATTCAAGTGGTTACATATTTTTTAAGTCCTGAAAGATGCTTTATTAACTGTAAGGGTTCTCTTATTTCTTGATTAAATTTAGCAAGAAGCTTACTATGAAATGTTATTTGCTGACTGGCTTTCACACTGAAGTGTTTCACTTTACCCTGATCTAAAATAGTGTGCCTTCCAAAGCTACTAGTGACAGATAAGAGCAGGAATACAACTTTACATAGTCAAGGAACATTTGTTTCTCTTATAATGCACTGTTTCAGGACTTTGTCCCCTCTCTGGGCCTTTTCCTTTTTTTAATCTTAAACTCTAAACTATAGAATTAAACTCCTTGACTAAAGTTTTCTGTAAGACAATTTATCTTCTTTGTTCCAGAACTCTGGGTGGCCTACATTTTTTTTGTCTTCAACAAACAGTCTTGCTCTTGAATGAAAGACTACTCCTTTTATGTTAGTATTAGTCACTCACACATATGAAAGAACGCCTGCCCTCTTGTGTCCACAGAGACTGCTACAATAAGGAGTGAATTAGCAAGTTTATCATGCCAGAAATAGAGTTCTCTCCTGTGGAGATTTGCTACCAGAGTTTGCTCAAGGCTGCCAAGTATGGCTGTACAGTTCAAACACTGCAGAACAACCTCAGCCCAGGAGCTGAATGAACAGTCATTGAGGGACTTCCCTGGTGGTGCAGTGGTTAAGAATCCGCCTGCCAATACAGGGGACACAGGTTCAAGCCCTGGTCTGGGAAGATCCCACATGCCACGGAGCAACTAAGCCCGTGCGCCACAACTACTGAGCCTGCGCTCTAGAGCCTGCAAGCCACAACTACTGAGCCCGCATGCCATAACTACTGAAGCCCGTGTGCCTAGAGCCCGTGCTCCACAACAAGAGAAGTCACGGCAATGAGAAGCCTGTGCCCCGCAACGAAGAGTAGCCCCCGCTCGCCGCAACTAGAGAAAGCCCGTGCACGGCAACAAAGACCCAAGGCAGCCAAAAATAAAAACAAACAAATAAAATAAATTTATTTAAAAAGAAGACTTGTGGCTCTGCTGATTTTCCAACATTTGTAAAACACATTGACCCAGAGTGTCAAAACCATGTTCACTTTTATAAATGTAGATACTTTTTCTACTTAAAAAAATTATGTAGACTCATTACATAAAATTTGGAAAATACAGAAAAGGAGAAAGAAAGAAGGCATCCGTATTCTTACTATCCAACAATGAATCCTGCTAATATCTCGCCCTAATTAAAAGTTCTCCTGGAAAATCCTAGCAAGTGAGGATCTGTTCGTCATTTTGGAAACTTGGAATAGTCCCGAGTTAATGTATTCTTGTCATCCCAAATCATAAAATCAAAATTTTTCAATGGCAAATCCAGGGATGGAGGTCCACTGGCACCTTTAGAAACGGCAGTTGAGTAACTGCCACAGAGGGGAACCAAAGCTGGGAGAGGATAATAACGGACACTGCAAAATGCACTGTGTACACAAAGCTCTATGCTAACACTGATGGCTCAATATTTTGCATATGTGTTATGCTGATTTGTGTATTCATGTTTCCTGTAGGGTTTTTGGAGTCTCTGGACGACTTTTACCTTCTCAGCAGTGGTTTGGTATTGCTGCAGACCACAAACAGCGTGTATAATAAAACCCTACTGCTGCACGTGGTACCCAAGTCTCTCCTGGCCTGGCAGAGAGTCCGGGTGGCCAATATGATGGCAAACGGAGGCAAGCAGTGGGCAGAGGTCTTTTCAAAATACAACTCTGGTAAGTGGCCCTGCAGAATAACTTATAGGCATGTACGTACGTTTAGATCTGGAGTTAACCAGTAAAGCCATACCCATGCCCTGTCTTCATGTCTTCTGATATTTCAGGCACGTATAACAATCAGTACATGGTCCTGGACCTGAAGAAGGTAAATCTGAACTACAGCCTTGATAAAGGCACTCTGTACATTGTGGAGCAAATTCCTACATATGTAGAATATTCTGAACAAACCGATGTTCTGCGGACAGGTATTTTCTTCATGCTAGAAGTCTGGAAGTCTGGTGTGTGTGTGTGTGTGTGTGTGTGTGTGTGTGTGTGTGAGAGAGAGAGAGATGGGTAATATGTGCTGTGTGAATGTATGATGCGGGGAGTATATGGTGGGGAAGGAAGGAGGGGAATGCCGTTGCTAGTCAAACAGGGAAAGAATGACCAGGTTCATTCAGCAAAACATGTAAAACCTGCACCTCGAACTCTTAACGTGACAGCATAATCTACCCTTATGCGTAGACTGGGACAAAGCCAGGCAGGCATTCACAATCTTATGACTGCTTATGGTTCCAATATTACCTTCTCTCCTGGGTTCCCAAGTAAAACTTTTAGTTCAGCAACTATTTATGGGAGTGCTACTCCGGCCCAGGGACTGGAAAAGCGTGGATGTAGAATCCCCAACACACAGTCTGATAGGGAAGCAAGAAGCTATTAGAACCCAGAAAGCAAACAGCAGTGATAAGCTCTGGTGTAGCAAACCTGGTGGTGACACTGTCAGTGGGAGGGATGAGAGAAGGCAGTTCTGGAGGGCAAGCTCACAGCCCAGACGTTGAAAGTACTGGTTTTGGAGTCACATTGCCTTGATTTGACTATCATCTGTTCCTCAGAATCTTATCCACTCTGTCCAAGCCTCACTTTCTTCATCTGTAAAACCTGACAGTAATGGTACAGGTCCCTAGTCACTTATTTGTAATTACAAAATCTCAAAACTCTAAAAGTTCTTTGTTCCTTTGTTTTTTGTCTTAGCTCACTTGTGGTAGCAAAATATGACCTGATCTGAACTCACTCTGTAGCAAAAACTAACTCGAACTATTTATAGTCTCTATTTATTTCCTCTTCTCTCGAGAGAATTTATACATCAGGCTACAGAGTTATCAATGTCTTTGATTATGAGGGGCTCCCCACAGAGACTGCAACATCATCTGTAATTTACACACCATTGCTGTTCTAAAATCTGGAAAACCCTGAATTCTGAAACACATCTGGCCCCCAAGAGTTTTGCGATGTGGGAGTGTAGACCTTTGCAATTTCACAGGGTTGTCATGATAATTAACTGCGATAATTTTTGTCAGTTCTTGAGCACATTGCCGACACTTAGCAAGTCCTAACGTCTTGCATTGAACACAGTGCTCAGCACACTTAAGACGTCCTCACTGAATATTTGTTAAATAAATGAAAGAGAAGATGATGTCTGCGTGGAGGTTTACAGGCTAGAAAGGAGCTCAGCAATTTGACAAGGGGACAAGGTCAAAGAAATAGAGGCATGGAGACCGTGGTGTGAAGGAGAAACTATTAGCCCAAGACAGCTAGAGAGAAGGCTGTGACACGGAAGATAGGTAGTCAGGGGAAAATACAGCTTTTGGATCCTGATGAGCAGTCAGTTTAGCCTTTATACAAAGTCCAGAGATAAACCCATGAACCTATGGTCACCTAATCTACGACAAAGGAGGCAAGAATATAAAATGGAGAAAAGACAGCCTCTTCAATAAGTGGTGCTGGGAAAACTGGACAGCTACTTGTAAAAGAATGAAATTAGAACCCTCCCTACCACCACACACAAAAATAAATTCAAAATGGATTCAAGACCTAAATGTAAGACTGGACACTATAAAACTCTTACAGGAAAACATAGGCAGAACACTCTTTGACATAAATCGCAGCAAGATCTTTTTTGACCCATCTACTAGAGAAATGGAAATAAAAACAAAAATAAACAAATGGGACCTAATTAAACTTAAAAGCTTTTGCACAGCAAAAGAAACCATAAGCAAAACAAAAAAACAACCCTCAGAATGGGAGAAAATATTTGCAAACGAAGCAACCGACAAGGGATTAATTTCCAAAATATACAAACAGCTCATGCAGCTCAATACCAAAAAAACAAATAACCCAATCAAAAAATGGGCAGAAGACCTAAATAGATATTTCTCCAAAGAAGACATACAGATGGCCAAAAACAGCACATGAAAAGATGCTGAACATCACTAATTATTAGAGAAATGCAAATCAGAACTACAATGAGGTATCACCTCACACCAGTCAGAATGGCCATCATCAAAAGATCTACAGACAATAAATGCTGGAGAGGGTGTGGAGAAAAGGGAGCCCTCTTGCACTGTTGGTGGGAATGTGAATTGATACAGCCACTGTGGGGAACAGTATGGAGGTTCCTTAAAAAACTAAAAATTAGCCTTTATCCTTTAGAAAACTGGAGTCTTTGAAAAGGGAGAACAGACAGGTCAGAGAGAAGACAGGAGGACAATTAGGAAACTTGAACTAGATCAGCCGAGAGATGAGAAGGAACAGAACCAAGATACGGTATGGATCCTGGGGATCAGGGCCGGTCCTTCATTTCCCAGGTCCTCGAATCCATCTTGTAACGACACCCAGAGGGAACCGCCTCACTCCAGGATGGCTCCTGCCAGCTAAATGCATATAATGTGCATAAAACAGAATTAATTAAGGTGGCAACTTCAATTGCCAAGAAGATCAGATGCTACCAAGTAGCGGACCTACCTCCTCTTCTTGTTGGAAAATCCACCTGAGAAGTCAGATCATTAGGTGGCTACTTGGTTGGCATGGCAGTTCAAAACTGAGAACCTAGCTGTCTGACTTGGTTCTAAGAGGCTGATAATAATAGGAAGCCGCTGATTATATGCTGGTAGATTCAGGTTCTTTGCAATCCCATTCCTAGATCCCATGAAGAAATCTACCCTGGGACTAAAACAAGTTGATGCTGATCTGTCTGTAGTTTGTTTTGTTTTGTTTTCCCCCAGAGGCAAGAAGAACACAGAGTTAAATTCATTGAGTGTCTGCTATATACTTGACATACCTTTTACTTATATTCCTTCGTTTGACCTTCATAACATATTTCCAGATAAGTAGCTTTGTTACCATCTTACTGTAAGGGAAGAAAGGCTCAGAAAGAAACATGTGACTTTCCTAAATAATTAAGCAATATCATATAGCCATTTAAAAAAAAAAAAAGTCCCGCAAACCTGCTAGCATTTGGAAGCAGCTGTGATATGCCGATAGAAGCCCTGGGTGTTTTTAGTCAGAAGGAAGGCATTCGACCTCTCGGAACCTCTGTTTCTTCCTTTAGGAGGAGGGATGTAATATTTATACGTCAGCAGGTATTGTGATATTATATAAGATACTCTATTTTAAATCCTTTTTTAGTCATGAAGCTTTATGAAAATGTGAAGTATAAAGCGGCCATTTTTATTATTCATTTGAGCTATTCATATAGAGAACTATAATTATAAAAGTTAATATTCATCTAATGCTTACCAAGTACCAGACCCTGTTGTAAGCTACCCCATCTGTTTGAACTCATTTAACTCTCACAATGATCCTTATTAGGTAAGTACTATCATCGTTCACATTTTATAGACTGAGGCACAGAGAGGTTAAAAAATTCGTGTAAGGTCACATACCTAATAATGGCAGGACCAGGCTTAAGGTCCAGGCAGTCTAACTCCCAAGTTGTATAACCTAGGTACACTGCAATAATAAGTGTGACTTTTAGCCTGCACTTTGCATGTTGTCTTTATCTCACTTCTTCCTGATGCTGGCTCTGTGCCCCAGAATCAGCAAGGTTGAATGTCTTGTCATTTGTTTTCTCTTAATAACTTCACCCCCGAGTAGGGGATCCTATAAAACAGTAAGAAGGGAAAAAGGCAGACAAGGGCTAAGAGAATATGGGAGTGGGAATTAATCCCCGAATGGTGAAGGTTGACTGACTGTCCTATAGGCAATACCCTAGGCCACTGTAATCTGAGCTGTTCCCGAAATGTTGATTTTACTAAAGGTGTGTCACATGTTTGACGCCTAGTGACGTTGGCACACTGTGAAGCTCTGAATGAAGCTGAGCCTTTATGAGTGTTGAGCGTCAGAGGAGTTAAATGCCTACTGGGACCGTAAAGACCATCTCCATTCCCCTCACATTATGAACTCTTCCTTTCCCTCCTCCTGCTAAAAAAAGGGGTTGGGGGAATGAGGTTAACTGCCTAAGGTCTAGTTATTCAACCCTGAGCCTAGAATTCAGATAATCTGCTTAAGATTGCTTTAAGAATTTGGGGTGAAAACCCAAAGAACCCTGATGCTTTTCTTCCCCTCGTGGAATAATCTAGAGGTCTAACGAGTCTGTAAATGTCAAAGGATCTGTTTTGTTTGATTGATTGCCAGGGTTCACAGTCATTATTTTCTATGTAGTATCATTTTGTAATTACACAGCTGTGCCAATTTTCAAAAGAAAGTACCACGAATAACATTTCTTTTGTTTCCTCTCTCTTTGGTCTTCCTCCCTGTCCATCCCACCCTTCCCTCCCTTCCATTCCAAATTAGGATACTGGCCCTCCTACAACATTCCTTTCCATGAAAAAATCTACAACTGGAGCGGCTATCCAATGTTGGTTAAGAAGCTGGGTTTGGACTACTCTTATGATCTGGCTTCACGAGCCAAAATCTTCCGGCGTGACCAAGGGAAAGTGACTGATATGGAATCCATGAAATATATCATGCGCTACAACAGTACGTAGCACATTTCTCAAGAATCATTCTTCAAAACTCCTTTTCTTCCCCATGGATAAAGAATCCATGTCATTTTACCATCTCTGTACTAGAAGGAATTATAAGAAGTTATTGAATTATTTAGTATTCAATTGATACTATGCATGCTATATACACAACAAATAGAATTTTGTCCTCTTTTATAAAAATGATAGGAAGAAGATCCTACATATTTTTTTAACTGAAAAAGTTATATGTAAAACACAGAAGAAAGAACCCGTGTAGGGTACTTTTTTTACCCTACCGTCCCAAACAGATTTCCTTCCAAGGAGAAAAGCAGCTACTAAAACAACAATTATTCAGAAACACTTTATTTTTGATGAACAGTATCGAGTCAGATTTGTATTTATTTTGTTAAAAAAAATGTCGGTACCTTCGTCCTCTGTTACCTCTCTTCCATCCATTCTTCACTGTGCAAGGTTCTTGAGACCAGGCTGAGCCTGGAGCAGGGGACTTGGCGGTTGCCTCTTCCCAGTACAAGTCGGAGGTGACTTCTGTATATGGGAGCAGGCTGGGCCGAGGAGGTCTCTGGGGTATACGCTCTGATCATCTAGGCTTTAACAGGTCCAGTTTACTGTGGATAAGTGGGTCTCAGAATGGTCAGTGCTCACACTTTTCCCCATCGCTGTTTCCTAGATTACAAGAACGATACTTACAGTAACGGTGATCCCTGCAATACCATCTGCTGCCGTGAGGACCTGAACTCACTTAATCCAAGTCCTGGAGGTTGCTATGACACCAAGGTAACACGCTCTTGGTTGTTTTTTTTTTTTTTTTAACTTTTCGTTTTATACTGGAGTACAGCCAATTAACAGTGTTGCAATAGTTTCAGGCACACAGCAAAGTGACTCAGCCATACATAACGTGCATCCATTCTCCCCCAAACTCCCCTCCCATCCAGTCGCTATTGGCTTTTGAATTTAATTTCCACCAGTACCTAGGCCTTTTCAAAGGCAGAGCTGCAGAGGTTTTTGTGGCATAAAACACAATAATGCCTCTAAACACAAACTCAATCCAGGAATCAGCTTTTTCAGAGATTCTGGTGGTAGGTCCTGTTGCCTAACTTCCAGTTCCTGCTCGGCCACTCAGCTATAAATCACATAATCTTTTATGCTTCTGTTTCCTCATCTGAAAAATGGAAATGAGTACTTGCCTCAAGGGTTGTTGTGAAGAATCAACATTTAATAGCTATAAAATGTTCACAACAGTACTTAGTGGGTTGTTTGTAAATGTACACAATCATGATTATGATGATGGTGATATTGTGGAGGTTGTAAGGTTTACCAGACCGGCCCAAAGTCCAAAGAACATATTGAGAGCAGTGTGATTTCACGTTACACAGGAATTGAATGTAGCTGAAGGAACAAGCATTGGACCAGATGCTCAAGCAATAAAGAGTTTTCACTATGCTAGAATTGTTAAGTGTTGTAATGTGTCTCACAATATAGGTAATAAAAAGTTTGCAGTGGGGCTGAAGCCCACTCATATAGGCTTGTGAGAACCAGTTGTTAAAATAGTTGACACCATGTTGATAGCTTGAAGTGGTGGAATATTTACATCATGGAAATCAGCAAACACTACAAATTGGGGTCTTTTTCCCTCAGAGAGCTAGTTAGTTAAAAATTTACCAGGATTTGGGACGTCCAAGGTTGTGAGTTAGCCATTTAGTTGGTGGAAGGAATCATTCTACCACATCCTTTTGCACTTTTGGCTTGGGCATATGTCTTTTCATTTGCATCTCCAGTCCTAAATTCTAGAAGAAATCTGTTACAAGCGGAGTTAACTGTTCTATCTGAAGCTCTGATAACTGTAAGAATGCCAATCCCCCACCATACATTATTTTTTCTATCAGCTTAATGTCTAAACAGAAGATGCTTTAGAATAGTTTGAGCCAAACTTTAGCCTTAATGACTCTCAAAATGTTGTGTAAGAAAAATTTAGTGGATGTAGCGAGCCTGGCACACGTGAAGCCCCAGTGAATGCTTTTGCATTTATTTCTTTTTAATGGCATTTGCAAACATTCAGTAAAGTGTGTGAAAAGTGTTATATCCATTCCAGAACACACAAAGAGAATTACTTGAACTGGGGAGAACCCAAGCCAAGCTTCCATCTGCCAAATTTTACTTTCTTCAGGAGACAAGAGCCTGCCAATTTTTCATCAAAAAAGTCTCTGTTGAAGCATATACTTTACAAATATCATTTCTCTTGAGCCATTCTGAATATGAGGAAAATCAGAAGTTATGAGACATTTCCTGCTTTCCCCTCTAAGCTTCAGATCTGCTGCTACCCAATGTTCAAGTGTTTCTAAGAACCACAGACCTCACTTTTCATCGAGTTCCTTCTACTTTAATACTCGTTAGTGCCCTGATTAATAATAACTTTTACTGAGGAATTAATCTATTCTAGGCACTGCTTCAAGTATTTGCTCTCATTAATCCTTATGACAACTCTTCTATGAAGCAGAGTTTTTTACAAATGAGAAAACGGAGTCAAAATACGTTTTGGAGCTAGAATTCCAAACGTGAGTAACCTGATTCCAGATCTCACACTTTTGGCGGTTAATTTAACACACTTCTACTAGTCAGTGCACATCTGAATGCCAGATGGATACAGAGGGTTATTGGGGAAGCTTGTAAGATTTCACTTTAAGGGGAGCTAATATTGTGACTCTGGACGAGGAGCAGGAACGACAGCTACAGCAGGGATGTAGTCTAGCTTTTCCCCAGCGGTTTCCTAAAATGCCCCCCTCTCCTCTCTTTGCAGGTGGCAGATATCTACCTGGCGTCCGAGTACACAGCCTATGCCATTAGTGGGCCCACAGTACAAGGTGGCCTCCCTGTTTTTCACTGGAGCCGTTTCAACAAAACTCTCCATGAGGGCATGCCAGAGGCCTACAACTTTGATTTTATTACCATGAAACCAATTCTGTAACTTGACATAAAATGGAGGGAGATGAGATACAAAGGGCACTATTTTAACTACGTTTTCCCATTCAGAATTTTAGTCTTAAAATACATTCAATCCAGTCTATCACTTTCATTTTTCACTGCCAGTTTTGTCATGTTTAAGACAAGCGTGTACTATAGGGTAGAGCACTGCAGAAGAAAACATTACATATGATGAACGCCAACACCGCTTTAGCACGCAGGCTTATACACAAGGAAGTACGGTAGAAGCTGCTCCCTCGCTCACCAAAATCCATTCTCTGCTTTTAAGCCTGGCCCCGCAGACCACACCTCCCTCCCAGGCTGCCTTGGGCAGCTGTGCCACGTGGCAGAGTTCTCGCGAGTGGACTCTTCCCAGGCCTGGCCCCTAACAAACAGCCTGTACTGCTCATGCTGTTTCCCCTTCTCCCAGCTGGATGTGCTTGACGGCAGAGCTCTAGGGGGCGGTGGGACCTCCGATAGGAATACTCCAATAGTGTTCTTTTTCTGGTGGTTAAGAAGCAACAGCTGAGTCTTTTTCTGGCGCAGGATGGGCTCATAATATAGCAAACTTTAATGTTGTCTCCCACTAGTTAAAAGCAGCATATCTAACCTGGGAGCAACTCTGCATAACAAACTTTTCTTTCAAAGCTGGAGAACTGTATGTGGCTTGAGTACCGTGGTACTGTCAAGTTAAGTTAAACGAACCACACTGAACAGTGTAACAGTGACTCTTAAGAAGGTGAAAGACTCCCAAAAGAAAAAACAAAAAAACACAAGGGCTGAGAATAATCAGAATGAATCAGACTACACAGGATGTTAAAAACCCAGCAGTTTATTTCAAAGTATAAATTTCAGGCTTGCTGAACAAAATCCCACTACAGTTAACACTTATACAGACAACACTCTACTGTACATTTAAAAAAGAAAAACCCCACAAAAAACCTTCAAAACCTAATAAAAATAGGGCAACTTGCTATAGCCCAGTTTCTATTAGACATTAGGAAGGTCTTACATTGTCTTATTATTTACACTTTCAACTGCAATAAAGAAAAATCAGGATGCAAGTTTACTACAAAGGAATTATTTTTATATTTAATTTTGAAGTGGTTGATAAAACACTAAAGCCAGGATTTCCCAAAAGGTGTTTGATTGCCCAGTTACCTTATTTACAAACAAAATTTTTTTAAAAGATGGCAATTAAATATAAATGATGGGTATTAACTGACTCTACAAATTAAAAAAAAAGAATGAAAAACTTATTTAGCATGATAAAATAATTTGACCAGAAGACAAATCATGTATTTGTATCATCCTATTCCTCCCCACTGGCTGGCTCAAGGGGAATAAGTTTTAGGAATTGGATAAACCTGCCGCACTAACGAAACACCTTATAGGAATTGTTCTAATCTTTTTTTTTTTTTTGGTCCCAAAATTTTAAAAAAGGGGAGGGAGCCTCATTTGCCCAGTAAATAGTAAGGCAGGCAGAATCATACATTGGTTTTAGATAGAGTTATTTTCAATAATCTAATACTGGGACATGGTTTTTCTGGAAATTAAAATAAAACAGGCCAATGATAAAGCTAAAGTAATGAATAAATCATAGGATACTGAAATAGCCCAAGAAGGAAAGTCCCGGAGAACACTTGGAAGTGTTTGCCGTAACCTACTGTGCTAAGATCACAGTGTATAAAAGAGAGAGAGGAGGATACCACAGGCATTATTTTGTTAATCTTGTACAGTACTGGAAAATTCGCAGAACAAGACAAAAGGGTATGCAGTATTAACACCTTGTTGCATAAATGATCATTTTGAAAGTGTAAGCAAAAGAGCAAACAAACAAACAAAAAACTACCTTAACACTTAATCCAATACAGCAAGAGAACTGTATGGTGCGGCCCACCTAAGGAGTTCTGCTGACAGATGGTCCTAAGATTCCAAGCTCCTTGCTTTAGGTCATTTTTTTTTCAATTAAACCTTTCATTTACTATCTGGCAATGGGGGTCAGGAGAGTGGGGAACACCTCTCTGTGAGGCAAATGGTATCCCAATAAACACTCACTTCTCAAGGAAGGAAGCTCTACTCTTCTCTCATAAACTTCTACTGTGTTAAACAGCACACAGTTTTCTGCATATTTTAAAAAGTGAGTCCAGAGAAATAGAGGGATATAGTTACCTCAGAAGTTACCTGTTAACAACAGATGTCTTTGTATGTAATTTATAAATTTACTGGCAAGAACATAATTTTAAAATGTGAGGCTTACACTTAAAACAGGGTGAAGATTACTCTGACAAAGTGCAAAGCATAGAGTAACAAACATCACAATTACCTTTAAATGTCATATAAACATCCTATATTTCAGGCTGAAGTATCAGAAGTTTCCAGGATTTCCAATAAGGCAATACTTACACAAGTATTGTCAGGCTAAAAAGGTAGCAAACTTGCATTCCCAAAATGGGATTATCAAGTTTCCTTATAACACTCTGTGAAAAGATACTGTGAAATAAAAAAAGGTACCATGGAGTGTGAACCGCTATTAAAAAAATCTGTAACCAGTAGCTATTTCTAGTTGAGTCCTCCATTCTCTGTCCCCAGAGAAACAAACAAACCAAACAAAAAGAAAGTACTCCTCAACATGAAAACCTGCCCCAAATAAAAGCCTAGAGTTCTAGCCTAGCACCCATAAGTAACTCCAATATAGCTGTTGCCTGTAAATGCCATGGCAGGCTAACTGAAAGACCATCATAATATCTTTTCCCTCAAATAATCACAATTTCTCTTTGTACCTTCCCTCCACCACCTGTAATAAAGTTTTATTTTACTGTAGAAAATCTATTTTTAGGGTTACTATTTAAGTATTTTTTTTTCTCTGACAGAAATGACACAATATAGTCTAAAATAATATTTTCATTCTACTGGGCTTTCTTCACCTGATTATATAATGCTATGAAAGCTTTAAAAAAAAAAAAAAAAGGATTAGTGAATATAAATAAAAAACGTTCACCAAGGGCACCTTTCTAGGCTAGGTAAGCAAATTATTATCAAGTGACCACAAAACCGGTCAATAAAGAACAATTTTGAACGTGGGCTTTCTATTCCGTAGACAGGAATGATCTTGAACACATAATCAACACTGCAACCATTGCCGGTAAAAACGTATATACATGCAGATATAAGATAGGTGCTCACACACATCTAGAAGATCATCAATTTCTCCCTTTAAAATTTGATTGGCATGACATTGGCAACTTCTTTACCATCATCATTAGTACTAGAATGAGTAACGTCTACATAGTTGGTTGGCAAATACAATTAGTGGAAACTTTAATTCTTATTGTGGTCTCATTTTCTGAAAGCAAAAGGAAGATTTTGGATTTACTTTTGGCAATCTGTAGGCTTTCTTCAGCATCAATCAAACTTCACACCCAACGTGACAGTACACTGACCGGTAAAAGTCTCTAAAGAGTTTCTTTACAACTAGAATGCTTCCTTATTACAAGCCACCGAAGTTGCAAACAAAGCAGCATTAATATTGAAGCCATAGCTCCTGCTTATAATTCCAGGAAAAATTAATGACTAACTTTTTTAAGAAGGTAGGAGTATGAATTCAAATATGATATGGGAAGATGACTTGAAAATTTGTTTCACAAATTCCACAAATTCCTTTCCAGGTATGGCCAACCACACTCTCACCCCCCAAATTACACTAGCTCTCCTGTCTTAAGCTATCTACACTCAAACACGTACCTGATACCACGTATAGCTGGCACTCATAATGAAAATCCATGACCTAAGCTGAACTTGATTAAAACTTTGAAGAACAGAGATGCACAGAAGTTATATCTAATTGTTACATAAAATGACTCCAAAGGATATACTTTAAAATCCTATCCAAAGCTGACATACAGTAAATCAGACAAAACTTAGCACCATCAAAACAAAGTTAAAAGATTAAGACAGGAAGAATGATAGGAGAATAAAGAAATGGAGCTTTCCCGTTGATAGTTTACTCACTGTATTTTGTGAATTTTACTATTTACTTCCTTTGAAAGAATACTATGCTTTGGGTGATAAGGTAAACTAGAATTGCTTTCATCATCTCTAAAACCTTGTGCAACATAGATACCAAAATATATTTGAAGGAAAATTTTCTTACACAATGTGGTCCAAAAATAAAAAGCATTTATATTCTTGGAAGAAAAGAGCAAGTCAAATTTTTGGAGTTAAATGTAGTGATGTCACTGATGAGACTATTTATAAAAGGCTTGGTCTAAACTTTACTTGAGGGAGATGTGCTACATTTGGTGAAGATAAAGGAGAAATGAGGGTGAAAGGCTGTCAGGGAAGAGTAAATAATAATGGACAAATGGCCCTGTTTACTTTTGCCATTAATCTTTAAGGCACAAAATAAATGGAAAAACCAGATTAGAAAAGGGAGGGCCCGTTGCAGATCTTTTTCATCTAACTGACAACCCAGAAGAGACAAAAGAAAAGATGAACAGATCCTTTCCTGTGTTCAAATTAACCTATTTTAAACTATTTAACCATTTTGCTTTTTATTTATTCTTTGGGTTCCATTTAGATTCAGTTTAAATCATTTATCTATGAACCTACAGATCTCTGAGAAGCAGAATCATGCCAGATACATACCTCAAATCCTTTGATCTACTTACTTCACACTGGAAGAGAGGTAAATTTGAGAATGAAAATGGGAGATTCCACTGCAATAAACATATAAATACAGAAAAGCACAAACACCCACACATATACCCCAGCCTCAAAACTAAAGCAAGGTGCACATTTACATTTCAAAACCTTGAAGCGTGAATTGTTCAGGAAAAGATTCTGCTTTATGGGCTGAGTTTATTCTGATTATAAACAAATGTAATGTATATACACATCTGTCCAAGAAATCTTGCACAGTGTGGATTTTACAATGGGTATCATGCACAAGATTAAAGCGAGACCCAAAAGTGGAACTTTTGAAGAAAGAGGAGGAGATAAAGGCCCCAAGGTTTAACTGCTCTGGGAAGAAGAGATCACATCCGTTGACTGAGGATCGCAGAAAGGTCCAAAACGTCCATAAATATCCTTGGCTCGTACTGCAAAGTAGTATTTGCTTCCAGATACAAACTGGGTGAGAGTGCATGCCATGGGCAAGGGAAGCGCCTTTACTTCTCCAATCTTCTTCCACTGGGAGGGCACAGTGGCACTGGGCTCCTCATGGTAAGCATACAGATGGTAGCTGTCGACGGCGGCACAGCTTCTGTCCACCTCGAGGACGCTCCAGGACAGCACGATGCCGTTTTGACTCTGCACCCGGGCTAACTTCAAGTGCGGCTTCTGAGGCGGAGATGTGCTGGCGGCCTCTGGGGGCAGGCGCTGCGGCTGCGGGGCTTCTGGTAAGGGCGCCGGGTGCACAGGGCGTGAGGGGGGCTCCTGGAGGAGGAAGGGGCACGCCAGTTTATAATGGCCACAAAGACGGCCGCTGCTGAAGGTAGAGCACAGCCTCCTGGAGAACATTCAGGGGCCTCACCTTACACCAAGGACCCTGGGAGACACCAGACCCCATGCCATTTCTGGCAAGTTCTGGTTGATGATTTGTAACCAGTAACGCCCCGCACAATGAGAGCTAAGGTTCCTCCCACTCTACGTTCGAGGTCTAAAATACTGAGTTTTCCTTGGGAAACAAAAGCCCTTGCTGATGGAACATCATCTTGATAAAAACTGAAATAAACATCTACTTCTAACAAAATAATTTATGATTTGATGATCTGTACTACAGATACTTATTTTAATATAACATAACATTTTTAAATAACATGTGTGGCAGTCTATCATGTAAAATTTGATTATCAACTCTACTTTCATCTTCAAACTGCTTTTCCATATAAAGAGCAGCGTATCCTAATAAGTAAGCACATTTAACGCTGAATGTATATATTTTTTTCTTGGTCAGCACGAAAAAGGTGACATTTATCCTGGACTGTGAAAGATAGAATTTAGAAATGTAGAAATAGTCACGGACCTTTCTGCCGGTAGGTAAAAGCATGAGCAAGGGCATGGGGATAGGCAGGTGAGGGGACTTATGGGCGAAAACAAGTATTAACTTTTATTTAGATATCGGGTATGTGAAGAAGAACATACACATTTGGAAAAGGTAAGTTAAGGCCAGATGACGAAAATGTATGAGGTATGACCTCGGGCTGGTTACTCAACCCCTCTGTACATTAGCTGCCCTACCTATAATAAAGGTAATAAGTAAAAACTAAAGTTAGAACATGAAAAGATACTTTTGAAAATATCCTTTTTAATACTCCAAAATGCTCTTTTTAATTTAACCATGAGTTTAAAATGGTCTATTTCACTTTGCATGCCCCAGATGTGGACTCTTTTTATATACTGTTCACCACCACAAGCAAACTCAATAATCCTCAACCATCATTCCCTACAAACACTTGCTCACAATGGTAAGGTCTATTTTCTTCAATAAACTTCTGCTGGAGACACAGAAGACCTGTCATTTCCTTTTGATATAACCAGTTTAAAGAAAAAAGTACCAACTGCAATGATATTTGACGGCTTTACAGGTGAGAATTTTGTGAAACCAAGCATCCACACTTACAGTATGCACTTGTGGTGGTCGGTGATGCACTGTGAGCTGAGGTCCTGTTGATCCCAGGGTTAATCCATTGTTTACAACGTATGTAGTTGCTTGAGGCACTCGAACTGTAACACCTATAAAAGAAAATTCAGTGACAAAATTAGAATTCTATTCCAAATTTGGTAGAACACTGAATTAAACATTTAAAGTCAGTAAAGTGATGTTTCTAAAGTTCAAAAGGAAAAATATTTCTGTTTTTCCTATAAGTCTATACTCAGCTACAGTATTATCTGAGCATGAGGATAAAGAAATTCTCACATATGCGAGCTACCAAAATAAAATCTACCTCCGCGAACGTTTCCTCAAGTAGCCACTGGAGGATATATGCTCCCCAAATGAGAGAGAAAATCAGGAAAGAGGAAAACAGGAGACTTAGTGAACAGGAGAGAAATAAATGCCGTCCCTACCAAAAGGACTATAACCGAAAATCCTAGAACGCTGAAACGCTGGAGCTGTAGACGTGCACAAGGCAAACAGGTCAGAATGGAGCAGTGTGACTCTAAACAGAGAAAACTTGAAGCTATCTTCACAAAGATTGCTGCCGCCTCCAGGACAGGCAAGTTATCCTTGCCTTGTGTTAATGAGGTTCCTCTTTCTTTCCATGCCCTGCTGATCAGCTGAGGATATTCATTTCATCCAACAGAAAACTCTTCTGACATACATCAGGGCAACAAAAGCAGAAAAATTTAGAAGCCACCCATGCCTCAACCATATTCCTGCCATATACTCAGTACCGCCATGTAGCCTGACTGAGGTGAGCCCAGTTTCCCAGAATTCATTCATGACACTGTTGACTGATTTCCCCAGAGAAAGCTCTTGTAAATTTGAGAAAGCTGAAGCCAGAATGTGAACCAAAGACTCTGCTTAGTTTATTTTCTCCTAGAAGCCATCACCTAATAATGGCATTACTGAAGTTCCTTTAAACAGCTGGATTTGCCCTTGCTATTAAATTTTGCAAAACTAAATATTTTTAGAGATACATATATAGATTGGAAAACCATACAGAAAAACAGAAAGTAAGTAAGGATGATGGTTATTTACCTCTGATAGAAAGGGAGAGGGATGCAATTAAAGGCGGGCATGTAGTAGACTTTTGGATACTGATAAAGCTCTATTTCTTAGGCTGGTGGGGAGTTCATACGTGGTTCATTTTGCCATTTTTCTTTAAATTTTAAATACATCTTTTACAGAAACTTGTTTGTATGATATATTTTACTACTAAAAAATATATATATATTTTTTCCATTTATATACACATACATATACATATGGAAATTACAAGTCACCTTTAACATTTTCCCATCTTTTATTTCTCAGCCACTTTCCATACCTTTAAGACTCTCTTATTGGAGGCTATCCTTTACCATTATCTCCGTCTGGGCTAAGTCACAATTGATCATTCCCACTTTAACTAGGCAAGGTGTCTCTTAATAGAGTACAGACCAACATCAAATAGGGTACTGTGATAGTACAGGCCATAAGTAATTAAATTGAAGACAACACCCAGAACACATATCATATCATATACAAGTCCAATTTTTCTGGTTAACTCTCCTAAGGGAATAAAAATGAATTAATAATAGTTTTAATATGATAGCACTTTTTGCTAAATCTAATGTCAATATAAGCTACTCCAGCTAAGTGCTAAAGAACTACATGTAACTTGGAGCCATATACAGGAAAAGAGTCTCTTACTATTTTGGGGATTGACCTGCCGAACAGCAGGAGCCTGCATAACAGTTCCTCGCAGGGAAGCCTGAGCTGGTGGTGCGGGGAGAGCTGTATAAACCACTTGATGGTTTGCAGGAGCTCTTGGTACAGGGAGCCTCGTGGTCACCTGAGTTACTGGACGATGCGTTACATTCACGGTGGTTGGAGCTAATGAAAAGCAGAAAAATATATTAAAAATGCAGTAAATTCTATGCTAAGTAAACAGTATTAAATGATAATTAACTTTATACAAAATCTGATTTACTGTAATAAAGAGAAATAGAGACAAGCGTCTCCTTTTGTAATCGTGAAAGGTAAGAATGATAGGGCCAATCAAAATTAATCTTAGTGCAATCCAAGCTTCAGAAGAAAAGAGCACCTCAACCAGGTCCAATGCCCTTCCTACTCTAGTTTAACTAGATTAAATAAGCAAGTGAAGATGAAGAAAGGGTTTAGACCTTGAGAGTATAATCTTATAGGAGTGATTTAAAAGAGTAAATTTTCCCTTCCTCAGTGTTAATTATTCTTAGCAGAGTGGAACTTTCGGCCCTCCAGGCCTTCTACCGATGGGTATAAATCCAAGAGAGTAACTCTGTGTTCCCACAGTTCAAAAAAACTGGCTATTATAATTGACATTTTCTTCAGATGAGCCAAACCATTTCTTACTCAAAACAATAAAACACCCATTAAAATACAGGCTTCTTCCTTCTCTACTATGGCATTCCTCCTAATTTATGTTCCAGAGAGCATTAATGCCTTGAGTGATACTAACACATATTTATCAAAATATGAGTCCTAAATGTTCACTGACAGCATGGAAGCACAGTAATGATTTCAGGAGTTAACAGTTTCTTGTTAATAACTCTCTGAATTAGAATTACATTTTACAAATGACCACATATGAACTATATAATAAAAACCAGTAATAAATATACATTCATATGGAAAAATGGGCTCTATAATAAAATTAATTTGGAGGTGAACACTGGACATAATAAAGAGACTGCTTAGTCTTTACATATCCTAACTTTCAATGTGAGTCTTTCGAAAGAGGAGAAAAGTAAAGTATACAAGGAGGAATACTTATCTCTTCATTTCCTTATTCCCCATTTTACTATCTATATTGTTCATGGGTTTGCATAATGACATTTCCTTCTAAATTATCTAAATTAGGTGACTGTCATTTTAATTTATTTCACTGGATCAAATTCCATGTGAGCTCAATGTATACCTTAATGAGAAGAGTGCTTATACAAGCATTTTGCAGATAAATCTCTTAAGCAATAGGCTATTTTTTGAAGAAGACAACCTGTCTTGATTGGCTTCCAAACAGATTAGGAGATACAGGCGACATCTTGAAAATGTCTGATTTATAGTTTCTTGAGAGGTAGCAGGTAAAATATTAGTGGTTCTGACAGCAGTGTTAGGCCAGTTAAAACTATTTCTAGTTAAGAATCACTTAAAAATTCTTGTTTGATCAGTCAATTATAACTTCTTGGTTATAATCAGAATGAATCATTACACTCATCCCTTCCAGAGAAACTATATTCATTTCTGCTGTTTACAGTGGCAAATAACAAAGACATATATAATTGAACTCTTCTTTATAACTATTCTGTATCAGTGCTGCTACTTAAGACTGTCCACGAAATTAAGTCATACTGCATTCAAAAACATACAATTGCCTTCAAAATAACAATGAGGACTATTCTTAATTTTCTAATCTTTTTTTAAAATAGTTTATAGTCTTTATAACTTATTACTAACATAATTAGGGTTAAAATCCAGTTCATCTCAAGGGAATGAGAAGACAAGCCACAGACTGGGACAAAATATCTGCAAAAGACATATTTGATAAAGGACTATTATCCAAAACATACAAAGAACTCCTAAAAATCAACAATAAGAAAATGAACAACACGATTAAAAAGTGGACAAAGAATCTGAACAGACACCTCACTAAAGAAGATAATAGATGGCAAACAAGCACACGAAAAGATACTCAACATAACATGTCATTAGGAAGATGCAAATAAAATAACAATGAGATTCCACTACACGTATTAGAATGGTGAAAATCTAAAACACTGACAACACCAAATGCTGGATGTGGAGCAACAGTTCCTCACACTCACTGCTGGCAGAAATGCGAAATGGTACAGCCACTCTGGAAAACACTTTGGCAGCGTCTCACAAAGCCAAACATATTCTTCCCGTATGATCCAGCAATCACACTCATTGGTATTTACCTAAATGCGCTAATTTTCTGTCTCATCTTTCCACTCAATTTCATAGTCATATTTCACTGCAGGCAAAACTAAAGTTTCAGCTTAGTGATTCAGCACATTTACCTGTAGGTAGTAAGTGTATGGTTGTCTGAGATGGTCCACTTGTTGGCACCCCAGATGGCTGAAGAGGCGGTGCTGGCTGGATGGGTTGCAGTGGTCGAGATATAGGCTGAGAAGAGCTCATGGTTGACACAGGAGTGTGATTTATCTTTTTAGGGTCTGTTAATTAAAAGTGAGACAATATGATTATTGATAGAAAAAAATTAGAAATACAAGTTTATCCTTGCCATTCAGTCACATTTACCCCTAAGAGAACAATTTCTTTGTATTTTAATTAAGTGTACTTTTGCCAATTTGAAAACCAAGTCAGGACCTTAAACAATTCACTGTTGGCTCTATCACAGATTCTAATTCACATTTAAAGAAAACACAGTTTTACTTTTTTTTTTTTTTTTAATGAAAGAATCCTACCTCTAACTCAATACAACAAATTTAAGGCTTTAGCAACTGCTACTTTAATACTTGAGTGTTGATGAAGAACAATGCACTTTAGATGGGAGAATTTAAGTAACACTCAGTGGTGGGGCAATGGAAAGAGACTCCAAGAGGCAGGGGTGATAGAAAGGGAACTGACAAGAGCACTGATAACAAACTTTGCTTACTTTACTTTTCTATCTAGAACCAGCCTTACCTGTGTGTTCTCAAAAATAACCTGTATTTATTTTTGTGCTCTAGGAAATTCCTTCCATTAAGATTTCTCTATTAAAAAAAATAGTAAAAGCAATACAGAAAATCTGAAACTTTTAAACAATAATCAGACGGGCATGAATTCAACCCTGACAAATAATGGCACAAATCTTCCAATTTTACATCAGTTTTATACAAAAAAAAAAAAAATTGACTTTAATGTCACATAATGAACTGTATAGCTACTTAATTTTGTCTTCCTAAAACCAACTTAACTATCTTATTCCCTAAAACGTAATTTTTTAAAATCTTTAGTTTTAAAAAAATGTAATGTCTTTAAGGTAAAATAATTAGCACCTGATCCTATTAGATTTTCCACATGTATTATATAATTATCACCACAAAGTTTTACAAATATGTCTGTGAACAGTTATTCTCAAATAAGTTTGAGAAATACTTTATAGCTTGAATCATTCTTGGAGATTTACACTGTAAATTAGCATAGCAAAGACTCGGAGAAATCTGTATTAAGGAAAACATCCATATAATTTTAACTCAGCATTTTCCAAGCATATTTAACCAAGAACTTTTATTCACAGAACACCTATTAACACTGTGGAAGAATAACTGGGAATATTGGTTAATATCTAACCAATATAATTTCTAAATATTATAACTCAGAATAATATTGAGAATTCTGGGTGTGCATGGTTTTTAACATTACTTTTCTTTAACATCTACATTAAAACACACACACACACATGGAAAAAACATTTAATTTAAAGTCAAAAGACTTGGGTTTAATTTGCACTCTGAATCTATCCTCAACTCTAAAATGAGCAGTATAGGGTTACTGTAAGGATCAAGTGAAATAACAGATATAAAAGGAGAGGTGTTCCATAAGTCAAATATTCTCCTAGTTGCTCTGTTTTCCTTTATGCCTTGTTCATATACATTCAAGATTTGATTTCTATTTTTTAATTCTAATCTTAAAAACCCTCTTTCTAAAAAGGACACAAATAATGGGGTAGAGATCTGTATTCACTGAATATAATGGATTAAGAGAGAAAAATGGTATCAAAGCATTCCTTAGTATGATTACTTATATTTAAGTACCTTGTGAAGCTCCACTCTCTTCATCATCCATTGTCAGATCAATGACCCCACCTGAATCGTTGCCTATGGCTTTTCCACTCTGAAAAAAACAAAACATCTGTATTTTGCAAAGGAAACTCTGGCAGACATAAGGAAAATAAAATAATACTGAGGGGAAACAAGGATAATGCATAGCCTGGTTCAATTTGGACACCTAAATGGCTTTACCTGAAGAAAGAGTGTTTGTCAGATAAGTGACCCAAGGATATTCATGAGCTAAATATCTGCCACATAAAAAATAACTTTGAAATCCTTTCACAATAAATTCTTTTTTTAAAAAATTACACTGTCAATTGCATAGAGCTATTAAAGTGACGATCAGGTGTGTTAAGTGATTAAATGTAAACAATTCATTTTCTTTATTCTTAATTTTTTCTTTTTTTTTTTTAACTTTTTCTCTTTTTTTTTTTTGATGTGGACCATTTTTAAAGTCTTTGCTGAGTCTGTTACAATATTGCCTCTGTTTTACGCCTTGGTTTTTGGCCCCGAGGCATGTGGGATCCCATTTCCCCGACGAGGGATTGAACCCACACCCCCTGCATTTGAAGGCGAAGTCTCAACCACTGGACTGTCAGGGAAGCCCATACAATCCATTTTCTAACATTTAAATGTTGACCAATCCTACACTAAATTATCAACGTTAATTCACAAAAACACCAAAGGCAACTTTAAAGCCAGAATTAGGTTACATAAAATAATATATTTTTTCCCCTGAAGAATGCTGTCATATGATAGGATATGATGTGCTATAATCAACTGCCATCTAATTTGACTGAAGTCCACCCACTGTCCAAAATCATTAGAAATGTAATTTTAAAAAATTTTAACTATATAATAGCAACAAAAAAGGAAAGCAGTACAAAACAGACCTAAAGAGCCAAGATCTTCAAGTCAAAAAGACTGAGTGCATCTTTTAGTTCCAACACGTACAAGCTATGTGAATTTATGTTAAAAGCACATTTCCTCAATTTCTAAAATTTGGATATGAAGTCTACTATAAGGATTAATGCAAATATGCATACAAAGAGCTTAACAACAGGCATGATACATGGTAACTGCTTAATAAATGCTAATCATAATTACTTTATGATATATTATATCAACTCCAAATGATTAAGGCTTTCATCTATAAAACTCCAATTTTGCAAAATTAAAGAAAATAATTCTTTGATGTTAGATATTCAGGCCAAATCCAAACACAATGATGTAATTCTAAATCTTACACTTATAAACCTTTCTTTGATAATGACTTCATAGAAAATGACTTGTTTACAAACATCACAAATCTGAAAAATCCAAAATGAAAAGTTCTTAACAAACCCTTGAAGAATATAACAGAATCCACTTGCTACAACAGATCTATATGGTCCACTTTTCAAAATAAGGTCCACTTTTAAAATTAAGTTTTAAATTCATCAAAAATTACTAAACAAACATGCAAACACCAGTAAAGTAGAACCCAACTAAAGACAAAAAGATAGTCAATAAAAATAACTCCAAGTGGAGCCAGATGTTGAATTCAGCAGACTTCAAAGCAGCTGTTAAAAATATGCTCAAAGAATTACTAGAACAAATAATCCTAAAGTTTATATGGAATCACAAAAAACCCAGAATTGCCAAAGCAATCCTGAGGGAAAAAAACAAAGCTGGAGGCCTAACACTCCCAACTTCAGACAATAAACAAAGCACAGTAATCAAAACAGCATAGTATTGGCATTAAAAACAGACATATGGATCAATGGGTCAGAATAGAGAGCCCAGAAATAAACCCACACGCCTACAATCAATTAATCTTTGCCAAAGGAGGCAAGAATGATACAATGGAGAAAAGACAGTCTCTTCAGTAAGTGATGTTGGGAAAGCTGGACAGCCACATGTAAATCAATGAAGACAGAACACTCCCTCACACCATACACAAAAATAAACTAAAAATAGCTTAAAGACTTAAATATAAGACATGATACCATAAAACTCCTAGACAAGAACACGGGCAAAACATTCTCTGACATAAATCATAGCAATGTTTTCTTAGGTCAGTCTCCCAAGGCAACAGAAATAAAAGCAAAAATAAACAAACAGGATCTAAAGAAACTCATAAGCTTTCGCACAGCAAAGGAAACCATAAACAAAACGAAAAGACAACCTTTGGACTGGGAGAAAATATCTGCAAACGATTTGACTGACAAGGGCTTAATTTCCAAAATATACAAACAGCTTATACAACTCAATAACTAAAAATCCAACAACCCAATCAAATGATGGGTAGAAGACTTAAATAGACATTTCTCCAAAGAAGACATACAGATGGCCAACAGGCACATGAAAAGATGCTCAACATCATTAATTACCAGAGAAATGCAAATCAAACCTACAATGAGGTATCACCTCAAACTGGTAAGAATGGCCATCATTGAAAAGTCTACAAACAGTAAATGCTGGAGAGGGTATGGAGTAAAGGGAATTCTCCTACACTGTTGGTGGGAATGTAAATTGGTTCAACTGCTATGGAGAGAAATAAAGAGGCTCCTTAAAAAACTGAAAACAGAGTTACCACATGATCTGGCCATCCCATTCCTGGGCATATATCTGGAGAAAACTCTAATTCAAAAAGATACATGCACCCCAATGTTCACAGCAGCACTATTTACAATAGCCAAGACATGGAAGCAACCTAAATGTCCAATGACAGATAAATGGATAAAGAAGATGTGGGATATATATATACACACACATACACACACACTCATATATACATATACATACATACATACATATAATGGAATACTGCTCAGCCATAAAAAAGAATGAAATATTGCCATTTACAGCAACTTGGATGGACCTAGAGATTATTGTACTATGGGAAGTAAGTCAGACAGAAAGACAAATATATGATAACACTTACACGTGGAATCTAAAATATGATACAAATTGACTTATTTCTGGAACAGAAACAGACTCACAGACATAGAAAACAAACTTATGGTTACCAAAGGGGAAAAGGGGGGGAGGGATAAATTAGGAGTTTGGGATTAGCAGATACAAACTACTATATATAAAACAGATAAACAACAAGGTCCTACTGTATAGCACAGGGAACTATATTCAATATCTTGCAATAACCTATAATGAAAAAGAATATATACATATGTATAACTGAATCACTTTGCTATACACCAGAATCTAACACAACATTGTAAATCAACTATACTTCCATTTTTAAAAAATGAAAAAAATCTATGTCAAAGAATTAAAGGAAAATACGATATTAACAGATGTGCAAGTAAGAAATCTCAAAAGTAGAAAATGAGAAAAACAGGAAGAGAAAAATTAAGATAGAATATTAAAAAATCAACACAAAATAAAAGTAGGAAAAAAGTACTCAGAAATAAAAAAATAGATGACATATTTTTTAAATTACAGAACAGCAGACCTAAATTCAACCATATCAATGACTATACTATCAGAATTAGGGATTGTCAGATGAAATAATATATCAAGAAATCAAGAAATAACTAGTTTTCTTCTCCTAGATACTCACTTTAAATATAAATACACAAACACACTAAAAAAAGCAAGCATAAAAAAACTGTTGTAATCACATTAATGTTAGACAACATATAAAGAGGTAAACCTTATAATGATAAAACAGTCAATTTGTCTATTTTATTGTTTTCACTCATGTTTTGATGCTCTATTATAAGGTGCATATTTTTCTATAATGTATAATCTAATAGGAAGACAAGATCTATAATCAATGATCTAATCTACATTATATTTTTATTTACCATAACCTGACTGATAAAATTCATCTATTATCACATACTACAGGTAGTTTCCTGGTTATATTTTCTCCTTGAGAAATAAAATTGAATTATTTCAATAACTATTAACAGCAATTATAAGACAGTCATGATAGCTGGCACAATTCCCATCAGGCTCTGTGCTAAGTGTTTTATCAATACATTCATTAACAAATTTAATCTTTACAATAATCCTGAGGTTGAGACCAGCATTAGCCATATTTTATAAGTAAGAAATCAAGGTGTTAGATAACTTATTCAAGGCTTACACATTATTAAGTGACAGGAGGCACTGTCTGACTCTAGAACTTATTATTTCTATGCCACTAGGTGCAAATTTATATATCTTCACATTTTTTCTGCCATCAATTCTAAGAAAACATGTAATCAGAGACATTACATGCCTATATCTGCATTTACACACATTACAGAATTACTCAATTTGAAACTATTAAAAAACATCTTAGTTGTATCAAATAGGCTTTAATACTAAGAATCTATTTTATTAAAAAGTTACTTAATCATGTGTCCTTCCCCCAAATGAGACCACTCTCATTAAGTGAACACTAAGAAAATTTCAAGAAAGCAAAGATACTGGCTTTGTAGGTTTTTTGGGGTTTTTATTACTGAAACAAATAACAAGAACATATTTGAAAGGCAATAACTAGAACATATTTGAAAGGCTAGAGTAGGGCACTTCAACAATTGCAAGGGAAGTTATTACTACAGAAGACCTGGTTGTTCACTCCACACACATCTCTCCAAGGGGACTTGGGAACTACAGTCAGGCTTGGTTGGCTACCAGGAATGTGACCCTTAGAAAGTTTACATTAATAAATGATAATTTTCTTATGTACACCTTAAACAGTGTCATACTGGCTTATCAGGATTGATTTGCACAGACATCAAGTCTGATGATGCACACCTGGTTTCATTGTTGGGGTCCTGAGTTTTGACTGCCATGGCTGGTTACAAAGAAAGAGGCAGCTGTATAGTCAGCTCAGACCCTGATACTCAGTCAGTCTTCTCTGGGCAAAGACTATTGGCACATGTCCCTGCAGTTAATAACCAGAGAGATACCACATCCTGTGCAGTGCTGGATAGGAGAGAATATGGAAGCCTCAGCCTGACCGCACTTAATCCCACTTGATGCATATTTTTTTCCTGCTGTTTTTGCTCTCTACCTTTTGCTGTGATAAACCATAACCATGAGTATAACCTGTCACAGGTCTTATAAGTCCTTATAGCAAATCAACAAAATTGAGGCTGATCTTGAGTCCCTCAAAAAAGTAATATAAAACTACAGATGCGGCAGAAAAAGATTTCTATACTGTTTTACAACATACGATGATACTTCGAATAAATAATGTTTTTCACGATATGAAATATATTAGTAATGTACTGTATGAAATGAGATCTATGAATAAAATATGTAGTAATAACTCATTATATGGAATATGTTAATAAATACTTATTTGGAGGACATTAGAGAAATCTTCATTCAAGGACTACAAAGAGAATATTTTACACATTTAATTATTTTCAAATTAGCTATGTCTGAACAACGATCATTTCCATACAAGCCATCCAGATTCCTTCTAATTTATAATAGCCTTAAAGTGTTCAGAAGTACAACTAAGTGAGATTTGGCAGAGAAAAAAGAGGTTGGCAGAGTATACTTAGGAAGTTAACAGTCTAAAGAATCACAAGCTACCTGTTTCATACCAGATTCTACTTGCTACTAAGCAACATACAGGGGAAAAACCTAATGATAATTTCTTAATATATCTTCAAAAAACAATAGTGTTGGGGCTTCCTTGGTGGCGCAGTGGTTGGGAGTCCGCCTGCCAATGCAGGGGACGTGGGTTCGAGCCCTGGTCCCAGAGGATCCCATGTGCCATGGAGCAGCTGAGCCCGTGCACCACAACTACTGAGACCGCGTGCCACGACTACTGAGGCCTACACGCCTAGGGCCCGTGCTCCGCAACGGGAGAGGCCACGGCAATGAGAAGCCCATGCAAGAGCAAGTAGCCCCTGCTCGCCGCAACTAGAGAAGGCCTGCGCGCAGCAACGAAGACCCAACGCAGCCAAAAATAAATAAACAAAATGAATAGATTTATTTTAAAAAAAACAATAGTGTTACCTTAATCAAGGTATTCAGCACAACAACAAAAATTTTATTTGTAACCCAAAAGAGCCAGTAAAGCATCAATTCATAAATGGCAGCACATATATATTTCTAAAATGGTTTCTTACCATATAATAAAGCTTGCATATTATATTTATTATTTAAATACATAACTGGTACTCATTCAAAGCTGAAAATCTTGCTTTTCTTGACCAGGCATGACTTTGGCAGGTTAGCTCCCTAGTCATGCTACTTGTATGGGTTTTTCATACAATGGTATTGAATTACTCTTCCTGTAAGCCAAATAAAATAACCACTGGGAACTTAATATTTGGTTGCACTGTCTCTTTGCTACCTGATGCAGTCACTTACTATTTCAGGCATCTTTTGCATCGACTGGTTCATCAAAATGTAAGTTATACAATACAATGTAAAGTAAAACATTTTAGATTCTAAAACCTGTGAACTGGGGAGTAACACATGATGTTTTAGAATTTCTAGAACATAATAAGCAGCTGGGTGTTACTGGATTTTATATTATTTTGTTTTGTTGTTTTTCTTTAATTTAAAAAGGATATTTTTAAGTAAAGAATTTTAAAAGTATAGCAAACTTTTATATCAATTTTAATTTCACCTAGATATTTACAATATTACATACACTATTTCAGCAATCCAGTATAACTTTTTGCAATGATGAAAATGTTCTATATCTTTGTTTTCCAATATGGTAGTTACTACCTATATTTGGCTATTGAGCCTTGAAATGGGGCTGCTGTGATATAGGAAGTAAATTTTTTATTTAAGGCTAAATTAAATTAAATTTTAATTTAAATGGCCAACATGTGATTAGTGGCTACCACATTAGACAGTACAACTTTAGAAGACTCATCATTTTTTTTTTTTTTTGCCATACGTGGGCCTCTCCTTGTTGTGGCCTCTCCCGTTGCGGAGCACAAGCTCCAGACGCGCAGGCTCAGCGGCCATGGCTCACGGGCCCAGCCGCTCTGCGGCATGTTGTATCCTCCCAGACTGGGGCACGAATCTGTGTCCCCTGCATCGGCAGGCGGACTCTCAACCACTGCACCACCAGGGAAACCCAAGAATCATCATTTTTAACAAGATAAAAACACAGCCATTACAATGTCCATTTTCGTGTCTTGAAACATTACCTAGTATGTCCAGACAAACAAGAAAAAAAATTACTGAGGGAAATAAAGTTGCTTGTAATTTCTTTGTTTAGTTTTAGGTTTACTTTATAAAGTAAGGCTAGACTTCCTATAAATGTTACATAAAAGTCACTGAATATATCAACATTTCCTATACCATGTGTCTTCCAGAAAGTACTCTATATACTTTTAATTAAAAACATAGCTACTACAAGACATCCTCAGAAGCAATAAAAACTAGGATCTTTAATATCATATAAAAAGACTGCTAAAATTTGTAAGAAATAAAATATTTCTAATAGCTTTCTATAAAGCATGGTGTACACCTATCTTTGGTTAAAAATCCATCATTTTAAAGGAAAACAGTCAAAATTAAAGATCATTATGCCCTTGTTTTAAAATTCATGTAATTTATTCATGCCTGACTTATTCAAGATTTTTTATTTTTCTCGGAAAAATATATGCATTTCTTGATATGATTAAGAGGAAGGGAAGAAAATAAAATTAGACTGTCAACAACCTAGTGACTTCCCTATAAATCTATTACACCTAAAGCAGTATAGTAAAAGAAGTATGACGAACATTGTTAATTTAATACAGGAAAAATGTAGTTACTCCATTCCTGAGTGATTTAAATTTAACATGAAAAAGTACCAGGACTGGCAAAGTGCTAATAAGCTATCAGAAAGACCAAGATTTTCTTTCCATAAAAGCTATGTCTGATCAGCTTTGAAGAAACTAAAATGATGTCTCTGTGTGTGTTGGCAATGGCAGGACAGAGGACTGGGTGGGGGGACCCCCACGGGGGAGACAAACCAGTGAGACCTTCTTAAAAAGATGGGCCAGGAAGAAATTACACATGGAGACTTAAAACTTCACAATATATGAAGAAAAACAACTAGACTGCCAATTATATATAATCCAAGCAGTTAAAGTAATAAACATACTATTTCTAAGAGATCTACTAAGCAAAAAACCTCAATTCTTGTCAAACAACACAGAGACGCTGTTTGAAAATTTTTGGACAGTTGTAAAAAGCAGACTTAGAGTAATTTTCATTTTACCAAAGAATATTGATAGAAATTCATTCTCTTATGGACTGTAATTAGAATTTTACTTTGAAACAGTAGGAAAAATCTTACCTGTGATGTGCTATCAGCTGCTTTCTTATTAACAGAAGCATCTATTGTTTTGTTTGTCTGGTTTTCTGAGGAGTCAAAAAACAAAACAAAGCAAAACTCAGAGCTATTCTTAAAGGCACCTACAAAATGTGAAAGGATGGGTTGCTTTACATAACAACAATTCATGTTAATTTTCTCCAATTTCTTTTTGTCTGTCAACATGTTACATATGTAAATAGATCCTCTCATAGACCACCACTACAAAACCTTTCAGAAGGACAAATTCATAATAGAGATCAAAACACTTTACATACTCGTTAACCAGAAATTTTAACTCTAACCTAAGAAATATTGCAGGGAAACAATTTAAGACGTCTGTAACTTAAATGCTGAAACATGAATAGTTAAAATATAATCCTTCCATACTATATTCCTTTGGAGAAAAAAAATTTAATAGCATGGCAAAAATGTAATAAATTCACTAGAAAAAGTTACAAATATTGATTCTGATGAAATATACATGGATAATCTCAGTAGATCAATCACAGATGATTTTTCTTTATTCAGTTTTCAATTAACTTGTGTTGAGTTTGTGGCATATGTATGTGTGTGCATGCATGTATGTACACACACGTGCACACACATACATATGAAAGTTGTATGTATAGAACTACAACTATATAGCTGTAAAAAAAAAAATAGCTGAATGAAAAAACAGCACAGAAAAGAAAGCAAGTAGGTTTTTCTGCCTCAATTTCTAAAGAGAAGGTATTAAATTTTATCAAATGTCTTGAGCATCTACTGAGGTGATTAATCAGTTTTTTCTCTTTGGTAATGTGGTCAATTATATTAATAGGAATTTTCTAATGTTGAAACATTCCATCCTTGCTTTTTTGTCAAAAAAAAGTTGGTCAAAATATGGCACTCCGGGCTTCCCTGGTGGCGCAGTGGTTGGGAGTCCGCCTGCCGATGCAGGGGACATGAGTTCGTGCCCCGGTCCGGGAAGATCCCACATGCTGTGGAGCGGCTGGGCCCGTGAGCCATGGCCGCTGGGCCTGCGCATCCAGAGCCTGTGCTCCGCAACGGGAGAGGCCACAACAGTGAGAGGCCCGTGTGCCGCAAAAAAAATAAATAAATAAAAATAAAAATATGGCACTCCTTTCATCTGTAAATCTTCATAACACATATATAAAGTAAACCATTTATATTAAAAAACCAAAACAGAAACAGGAGACAGAACCCTGTATTTCTACATATAAATCTGTATGTCAAAAAAATCAGGATAAATATCTACCTATTAAAAAAGAGGGTTTTCTAGGCTAGGCACATAAAAGGAGGCCCTTACAATTTCTCCCTACTCTACCTGAATTATCTTAGTTCCTTTCGTAGGAAGAATATATATTATATATATAACTCTAAACTAAGGAATATCACAGGGAAATAATTTAAGATGTGTATAACTTTAAAAAGATATATACATATCTTTAATACCTTAAAATTACTTCATTTACAATGAATCAGCTTCTGTTCTGGACTGTGAAGTTCTTGAAATATTACTTAAATAAAAAACAAATTCCAGGGTACTCATCCTACATGGTTGAGTATTAAATTACACTTATGATATTACCAAAACATCAGCAATTTACTACCAATTTTTAAAATACATATATACAATGTCAGAATATATTCATTTGGATTTAAAAGACATTTTCATTTTCAAATGAAAATAAAACGTAAATTCAGAAGCAAAATAGGTGAGGGAGCTTCATTTTCATTTTCTGTTGAAACATTCTCATACAATTATCCTCAAGATTCAGAGAAGATTTAGACTGCTTAATAAAATGTTTTACTTCTTTACACACACACAAACACACACACACACAAATACTAATAACTATGTTTATTAGCCCCACCCTGCCAATGTTATTGCTTTATATATATGTGTATATATTTTTTAACATCTTTATTGGGGTATAATTGCTTTACAATGGTGTATTAGTTTCTGCTTTATAACAAAGTGAATCAGTTATACATATACATATGTTCCCATTGCTTGATATATTGATTTGTAACTTTTTACTTTCAGAATTTATCTAAAGTTGGGGCTTCCCTGGTGGCGCAGTAGTTGAGAGTCCGCCTGCCAGTGCAAGGAACACGGGTTCGTGCCCCGGTCCGGGAAGATCCCATATGCCGTGGAGCGGCTGGGCCCGTGAGCCATGGCCGCTGAGCCTGCGCGTCCGGAGCCTGTGCTCCGCAACGGGAGAGGCCGCAGCAGTGAGAGGCCCGCGTACCGCAAAAAAAAAAAAAAAAATTGGCAGGGGGTAAAGTCAAAAATTGTACCTCAGGCTTCCCTGGTGGCGCAGTAGTTGAGAGTCCGCCTGCCAGTGCAAGGAACACGGGTTCGTGCCCCGGTCCGGGAAGATCCCATATGCCGTGGAGCGGCTGGGCCCGTGAGCCATGGCCGCTGAGCCTGCGCGTCCGGAGCCTGTGCTCCGCAACGGGAGAGGCCGCAGCAGTGAGAGGCCCGCGTACCGCAAAAAAAAAAAAAAACAAAAAAAATTGTACCTCAAATTCTTTCTGTCATATGGGAAACATCTCTATCTCTTTATTTTGAAAAGATATTGTCACTTTTTACCAACACTGCATTTTTTCCAGAATAATAAGAAGGTTTTACAGTAGTGCCAGCCAATTAGTAGTATACCCCAGTAGGTGCTGGATAATGGTATGAAAATGAATGCAATGCAAGACCTTTAAATCATTTTTACAACACCATCTCTCATTCAGATCACTCCAAGAGCCTCCTAACCGGTCTCCCTAACTCTGTTTTACCCCCTCTAATCCATTCCCCTCACTGCAGCCAGTGTTCATGGATGTCACACTCCTTCCTCTCTGTAAAAATCCTTTAAAACCTTATTTCCCACCATCTTTCCATTCACTCCATTCTCATACCATCCCAGACCTCCCATATCCTCTCACAGAAACCTTCATATCTTTACACTCATCACATTGATAATTAATTATTTAATATCCAAGTTCCGTATTTGATTATGAGCTTGGTTAGAATAGAGACTATTTTGTACATTTCTGTGTATCTGCAGGATTTTAGAATAATACAAGCATTCGATATTTTATGAATAAATGATATGAGCTATAATTTGGTCTCCAAATTTCCAAGTAGTCCTTAGGACAATTTTTACTTTACATTTTACAAAAAATATTGACTTACTCTATGGGGAAATATGTATATAAAATACATACAAATGCATGTCTAGTTATACGGTATATGTTCTCATTAAGTAAATAAAACCTACATAAGCATAGGATTTAAAACTAATTCATTACTTTATCACATTAGGGATGTATTAAAGTTTGGTTCAACCTTCATATTTAGCCAAAATTTGCTATTTGGCTTCAGCTTAGGCTTTGGCAAGCCTCAACAGCTAAATGCCTACTTTAATGCCATTTATGGCACCCCTAAAATTATGCATGATCAAAGAACATATCATCTCATAGAGTCTCATTCTAATTAACATTATGAACAACATAAAAACAAAGCTTATCATTAACATTTTTGGTTAATATCTAATAATTTACTTTCAAAAGTAGGTAAGCATTCTAAAGAGAACTCAAAATGAAGATCTCCTTAATATAATTTATATATTAAAGTACATATAAATGTGTTAAATATGTTAAAATATAAAGTTTTAAGTATAAGTATAAATGTACATTATCACAAAAGTAGAGTGATGCTCTAATTAATAATAATGGGGAAAACTATTAATTTTATAAACAAAAATAATCAAGGACAGTCAAGTAATTAAATAAATACAAAACAGACTAACACTCTTTACAACTAATAAAGCGCACTAAGCTAGATAACTTTGGGAAAAACATACCTTTTGTTTCAACAGATGTTCATACAATGTTTAACAGGATAATGAAACTGAATTACAATTCTGATACTGTAGAAGTATTTAAGGTACTTGCATTCATAACGTTAAAAAAAATAATCTTTCAAGTTATTTCTTTCTTTTCAGGCCATGGTCTTTCAGGGAAAGTTCTATATTTAAGAATATATCTTATCTTGTGACCATGAATTAAAAACAGTATCAACTAGGCTCAAAATTTCATAAAGAAGAAAAACTCCAGAATCTCAAAAAAGAATGTCCATGATAATCATCTTCCACCTGACATATTAAAAAACAGTAATGACTGGAAGAAAAACAAATTAGAGAAATATGAAGTAACCCCCCAAAATCTTGCTCATCGCTGACCTCAATTAAAAGCATCTTTAGCATATAAGGATGTGATAGCAGATAATGCTAAAAAAATATGGTTACTGTACCATGCAAATATTTAATTTAAATACTAATAATTCTATTTGAAATTTCAGATTTACTCTTATATCCCAGATGTCAATTCTATGAGGATGATATTCAGCTTCAGTCCAATATTAATTTTTAGTTGCCATTCATTTACTCTCTCAATAACTCTATGAAACACCATCACTATTTTATGAGAAAATATACTCAGAGGGCAAGTACACTACTGAAGACTACATGAGAAATTAAAAAAACAAGGCTTGTACATCTCACTTGTAAGAGTAATTTTGTACTTTATAATCTGTTTCTTATATTCCATGGTCACTTCCTACATCAGTAAGACAGATACTATTAGCAATTTCATTATATACATGATGCCTAGGCTCTCTTTCCTGTCTTTCCAAAAGCAGTGGGGATAAATGTGAAATCAGAAATGAAGAATAAGCAAGTTCAAGAATGCATAAAAAATGTATGCTTTTGAAGAACAAGGAAGACATAGAGTTTTACAGATTTTAAAAACAGGAGCAATCAAGTTCTCCTTTTTGCAATACTTCAAAGTATATATACATATGCAAACATAATCATGTAATATGTCATAATGGGAAAATATATAAAAGAGAAAACAAAAAGCAAGCAAACATTCTGTAGTAAATTAAAGAGGGAAGACCTAGTTTTAAACCTCTCAAATTTGCAAGATATGAGTGATCGCACAGAGGATTTTTCCAAATGGGTAGGGAAGATATGTGGTTTTTATTTTCTTCTTATTAGCATATATTATGTCAATTAGATACTTTAAAATATACTTGCTCTATTCAGATATATCTGAAAAATGTATTAGAAAAGTAATTCATAATGCTTGCTACAAAGCCTAAATTAAAAATTCGCACAGATTAGGAAAACTAGTAAAAGATAAATTACAAATGCTTACTTCTCACTCAAAATAAACTCTCTCTCAAATCCCACTGTAACAACATCATTTCTCTTAGGTAACAAAAAACTTACTAAAAATAATCTCTGTGAAAATTCTGTTTACTCTGTTCTTCTAGTAATGCTAGTCACTTACACACACACACACACACACACACACACGTGTTCAATTACCTATAGACTATTAACATGCTTGCATTTCTATTATTAAACCTCCATACTGACTTACCAATTCTTGTGGTGGCCATGCTGCTCTGTTCTGCAGGAGATGAAGTACTAAAAGCAGAAATTGGAATTTTCATCTGTATAGGGCCTCGATTATTTGATGGACTATAGAGTCCTGATGGGCCTACTGTGGGTAAAGAAGTCCTTGTGGCTTGTACAATAGAGTGCGCTGTTGGAACAGCCTGTACAGCAAGTGTTGTTCCTAATGGTGCAGCACCGGCAGGAGAATTCCTTTGAATACTAGGACTGGGCACAGAAGGAACGTTGTTTGGTTTAGTGGGGTTTGGCAAGGATGGCAAAGATACTGGATTTTTGGTTAGACCACTCATTGTAGGTGGGCTTTGTACAGAAATGAATTCAACGTTGCCAGATGGTTGATTGGTCACTAAAGTCCCTGGATGGCTCTGTAGGAGCTGAGGTTGGGAGGATACGGCAACAGGTACATGCAAAATCACTGGTAAAGACTGTAAAGAGATTGTAGGTTGGGGATTTCCACTAGGCACCTGAGTAGAAGCAACTACTGTAGCTGTGTTGGGTGCAGGAAGAACTGACGTTGCTGTCAGAGAACCCGATGTCACTGGAGGCTGCAATTTAGGTTGACTACTGACAACTGTTGGAGGAGTGACAAGATTGGTTGAAGATACTATAAAAAGAAAAAAGAAGTCTCAGTTTAAATAGCTATCTTTATCAGCTAAGATAATATAATACAAATTTGATGTACTGCAGTATATACAGTAAAGTCTCTCATAATTAAATTTTTAATTCAAGATTTAAATCCTTGAACTCATAGATTATCTGTAGAAGCATTTTTGCATCTGTACTTGGTACATTATGAAAACAGCACATGTTTTACGATTAAGGCAGAGGACTGCTATCTCTGTATAAAAGGAGTCTCTGAAAATTATTATACTTACTTCAGAGTAACTAGTTGGAAAAACAACTAAAAAACATTGAAAACTAAGTAAAATTGTATAGACAATTTTGAAAGTACATTAAATATATTATAGATGCCTTAGAACACTGCCAATACATAAACTTAAATAGAAAATCTAGAAAGAGTACCATTAATGAATAACAGGTAAACCTGGTGATGGTATTTTGTCATTTGGACAATGTGAGACCTCTATCTGTGGATCAAAAATTTTACTGGATTCCCTGGGGAGGAACTGGTGAGGAGAGGCTGTCTCTATTAACAATCTATTGACATTATGTGATATGGAAAATGGCGCGGTTAAGATGGGAGATGAATTAAGGAGCAGATAACAAAGAGCAGAGAAAATCAAAATGCTTGTCACTGTAGTTTTATAGTCATTTTAGTTCAACCATTTGTGTTTATTCTCATTTGAACAGGTTTAAAATCAATGACCAAGTTTCTTCTCAATGATTAGTAGTCTTTCCAAAATCATAGGCACGCTAGAGCAGCAATTCTCAAGGTGCAGTCCAGGGAGACACCTGGGGATTACTGAGACCCTTTCAGGAAGTTTGAAATGTCCAAACAATTTCCATAACAATAAGAAAACATTATTTGACTTTTTCACTGTGTATATATTTACAATGATGGAGCAAAAGCAATGGTGAGTAAAACTTTTGATGTCTCAGTATAAAAATCAAGGTAGTCGTACCAAACCATCACTGCACTCTTTAACACCACATGTGCACAGTAAAAGCCAAACAAAATCAGTTTCATTTAAGAATGTTCATTATGGGGCTTCCCTGGTGGCACAGTGGTTGAGAGTCCACCTGCCGATGTAGGGGACACGGGTTCGTGCCCCGGTCCGGGAAGATCCCACATGCCGCGGAGCGGCTGGGCCCGTGAGCCATGGCCGCTGAGCCTTGGCGTCCGGAGCCTGTGCTCCGCAATGGGAGAGGCCACAGAGTGAGAGGCCCGCGTACCGCAAAAAAAAAAAAGTGTCAGCTTTCAAATAAGCCTGATATCACTTAATATTCTAATAACAAACAAAAAAAAAAAAAAAAAAAAAGAATGTTCATTATAAGTAGTAAAAACTACTAATTCTATTAAATCTCAATTCTTGAGTATAGTCCGTCTTAATATTTTATGTGAAGAAATGGGAAGTACACATAGGGCATTACTGCTGCATGCCAAATAAGGATGGCCGGCTCAAGGAAAAGTGCTTGTAAGATTGGCTGAGTTGTAAGCTGAGCTAACAGGCTTTTTTAATGGAAAACCACTTTTACTTGAAAGAATTACAAGCATACTGTGGTTATTCACACTTGGGTACCTGGCAAATATTTTCTTGAAAATAAACCAAATACGGCAGTCACTTCAAAGAAAACGACCAACAGTATTTATTGGCAATAATAAATTTTGAGTTTTAAAAAACAAAAATTAGGGGTTTCCCTGGGGGCACAGTGGTTGAGAGTCCGCCTGCCGATGCAGGGGACACGGGTTCGTGCCCCAGTCCGGGAAGATCCCACATGTCGTGGAGCAGCTGGGCCCGTGAGCCATGGCCGCCGAGCCTGTGCGTCCGGAGCCTGTGCCCCCGCACCCAAAAAAAAAAAAAAAAAAAAAAAAAAAAATAGAACTTTGGAAAATACGTCTGTCTACCTGCCACTGAGGGCATGACAGCTTCCCAAATCTTTAAAGACTTGTCTGAGAAGAACTGATAGTGAAATAAATAAATATGATTTAAAAAAAAATTTATTAATGAAATGTGTCAACATTTGGAAGACTCAGAAAACTCAGTGAATATTTTCCAAATGATCAATGATATTAGTAAAAGATCCATCCAAGTACAAGACAGACAAATGAATTTTAATGAAAAATTTAGAAAACTTTATTGGTATGGTTTCTGATTCCACTTTGCAACTAACCTGTAAGAAACTACTACTTGCTGTATCAAAGAAGAATATCCACAATTCACTAAAAGGGCTAGGCCTTTTCCAACTACATATTGGTATGAGGCTGAATTTTCTTCACATATTTCAACTATAACAACAAATTGCAACAGATGGAATGCAGATGCAGATATGAGAATCCAGGTATCTTCAGCCATCTTAATGTTTTAAGTGAGGTATAAAAGAGATTTATAAAAATTTAACACAATAACACTCTTTTTGCTAATTTTTTTAAAGCTTGGAAAAGAGCTACGTTTCATCAAAACATGTTACTTATGATTCATAATATAGGTTTGTAATCATTTTAAAGTGAATAAATAAACATTAAAAATTTTTGTTTTAATTTTCACCATAGTAAATATCAATTAGTACACCCACATAAACAAAGCTCTTTGGATTCTTAATAATTTTTAAGATTATAAGGGGATGTGAAGACCCAAAGGTTTGAGAACCACTACAGTAGAGATCTGAATTTCTGTATTTTCATGCATATCTGCGATCCTGATTTTTAAATAAACTTTGTGCTTAGCACTCAGTTTTACATAACTGTGCTCAGTTTCTTAGTCCATTTCAACCTCAAAAGAACATAAGAAAAGAGAACCAAAACCTTCAATTCCTAAGAAAATGTATTTCATTGTTAAGAATATTACCTGTATTCACAGGGGCTTGAAAGGATGGCGGTGTGCTCTCGCTTATATTTCTTTTGGACTCCAACATCTGTCTCACTGTGTTTGCATTTCTATGAAATATATATACACACAAATGGTCACTTGATACACCATTCTAGGGAATATCTATTTATGTATAGAGAAAGCAGTGGCCCCTTGGAAAAAAGGGTGACTAGACGTGGATATTAAAGCATTAAACTGAGAGTGAATGCAGTGAAGCAAAGCTGGCACAAAGACTTTGGAATGCTGGGGTCTACAGCATTAGGGGAGAGTCTTCCTTCTATATTCTATGTCTTCAATACTTTAACCTGAGAACCAAATGTAGGTCCGAATATCTGCACACATTAGATTTTATCACCCCTGATGAAAGCATTTCTCAATTACTTAAGATAACATAATTTAACACAGGTGGTTAAAGAAAGCCTTATAATAAATTAGCAAAATCAATATCCATAGGTGAACAATTACAACAAAGCAAAAAGGAAGCAAATATACTTAATCCAGTATACCAAACACTTATCTCTACATAAATATACAGAATCACATTCCAAGATTTTTCTGCAAAGAATATCAGAACCTTGTTCTCTTAATTAAAAACTTGATAAACAGACTGTTTACAATTCTCACCTGTAGGGCACACTGTTATTGCTGCCGCCATCAACTACAGACTTTCCTGGTGATACAGGTGGGTTTGGTGGATTCTGAGGGAGAAAAATACCAAGGTAAAATAAAACCCAATTCACAAGGGATCTTTTAAAATAAGACCTTTAAATGCCTTGTCAATATGTTATCTGTTGTTTCTCTAATATAGTGGAAAATCTTACTGAGAAAAAAATTTAAATCTTGGCATTGCCACTTGTTAAGCCCCTTACACAAATTACTTAGTCTATTGACACAACTGCTTATCATATGAAAAGTGAATAGAATAATTCTTAAACCTCAGTTTTTGATATGAGTAAATAAAATAGAGAATATGAAAGTAGCTTATATGTTCTAACAGTTCAGTAAACATTAATATGAATCTAAAGAATAATTAGACACTCATTCAATAAATATCTAGTGAATGCCTACTATATATCAGGCAGATCAGGCACGATTACAAGCAGAAACTCAACAAACAAGGTAAGTATTTATTTTTCCCCAGAAGTAATTGATTGCCAACTAAGTGGTATCCTAGGTCACAAATCAAAATTATTTTTACAATTTTTGTTTAAAAAATAAATACTTGCCACTATGTGACTCACAATTTCATAAAAAGATGTCCCAATTCTAAACTTCAGAACAAACTAATTTAACCCTTTTCTGCTCCCCAAAACAGGGAATATAGAAAGAGAATTCTAATATTTATATGCTAATTACCATTATTTGGGCCTTCATCATTTATTTCTTAAATTGAGAAAAATACATAACTCCACTCAAGAGTTAATTAAGTATAATAATACATATAATACTAAACAAAAGGTGGTAAGTGCTTAGGATCACATCAAGCAGATGCCACTAATCACTCTTCTCAACAACAAATATATCTTGCTGCTTTTTATAGGATAAAAGGATGATTTTAACCAAATAGTATAGTGTTGTACTAGTTATCTGTGCACAGGAGACAAAAGATAAAGAATTAAAATAAACTGTTCTAACCTGGCTGTGGATGCAAAAAACATTTGAAATAAATAGAAAAGCAAATGAAAGTAACATTGTAGTATTACGTGAAAAAATTTAAAAATTTTACGGGAAAGAAATGCATCTTCTAACAAGTCTTTGAGTTATTAGTACACTCAAAATAGTTAAAATGAAGGTAAACAACATTTCAGGGAAAACAAAAAAGGAGCAGTATAAGCAAAATAAATAAGTATAACAGGGCTTAGAGTCATCAGATGGAGGGCCTTAAACACTACAGTGTGGTGACATCAGCAAGATGGCGGAATTGGAAATCCTATACCCTCCTTACCTCATGAAGACAATGATTTAGCAATATAAGAACCAAATTTCACTTGTAAGAAGTCCAGAAACCTGTTGAGAGATTATAGAACCCCAAGTGAAAGCAAGCCCCAAGAGACATATGGTAGTGGGTAGAAAAGTCTGCTGCTCTTACCCACCATACCCCATCCCCTTCCTCGCACAGTGTGGTGCAATCAAGAAAAAATTCCCAATAACTGTCCTCTCCTTTGGGAAGGAAAGAGAAGAGTGGAATTTGCATGCAATATTCTGGCTCTTTGGGGTACTGATAAGGCACTGGCTTCAGTCTCACCTAACTTGGATAAAGCAGCACAAGTTGGATGTCTGGGGACTAGATGAGAACAAACATGAACCCCTTGGCTTGGTACCAAACCAGAAAAATTGCAGTAACACAGACAGACAACAGGGGTAACTCCAATATCATGGCTTGCTAAAGCAGCACAAGACTGCAATATGGAAAGTAGATACCAGGTGAAGGATGGGAAGTTCCCAATTAGAAACAGATAAACCTCTTCAGATGGGAGATACATGCACAAGCTCCAAGAAAATACATCTTTGAAAATAGGTTTGAGAGAACACCAGAGTATCTACCCAGACAAGACTAGTAAAGCTCTTAATCTGTATAAAGATATTCCAAAAAGATGAGGAGGTTATTTTTTCAAATGCCCTAATTTCAACAAAAGAGAACCAGACATACAAAAAAACAGGGAAATATGGATCAATCAAAGAAATAAAACTCCAGAAACTGAAGAAACATATCTATGAAACACCCAACAAAGAATTCAAAATGACTAACATTAAGATGCTCAATGAGATAAAAAAGAACAGACAGAAAATGAAATGAAATCAGGAAAACAATGCAAGAAAAAGAACTTTATAACAGAACCAATAGAAATTCTGAAGCTGAAGAGTACAATAACTGAATTGAAACCTTTACTAGAGGGGATCAAAACCAGACTGTAGGGATTTCCTGGTGGCGCAGTGGTTGAGAGTCCGCCTGCCAATGCAGGGGATACAGGTTCGTGCCCCGGTCCAGGAAGATCCCTCATGCTGCGCAGCGGCTAGGCCTGTGAGCCATGGCCGCTGAGCCTGCGCATCCGGAGCCTGTGCTCTGCAACGGGAGAGGCCACAACAGTGAGAGGCCCGCGTACCGCAAAACAAAACAAACAAACAAACAAAAAAAAACAGACTGTATCAAGTAGAATAAAGAATCAGCAAACCTGAAGACAAGTCACTTGAAATTATTGAGTTAGACCACCAATTAGAAAAAAGAACGAAAAATGTAAAGACAGACTAAGGGATTTATTAGACACCATCAAATGGACCAATATACAAACTTGGGAGACCAAGAATGAGAAGAAAGAAAGTGGGCAGAAAACCTACTTAAATAATGGCCAGAAACTTCCCAAATTTGAGGAAAAGAACTGACAAATTCAAGAAGGTGAAAAACTTCCAACTGGAATTAACTCAGAGACCTACGCTAAGAAACATTATAGTCAAGCTGTCAAAAGTCACAAAGATTTTAAAAGTAGCAAGAGAAAAATGACCCATCACATTTAAGGCAGCTCCCATAAGATCATCAATGGTTTTCTCAGCAGAAACCTAGCAGGCCAAAAGGGCGTGGAATGACATATTCAAAGTGCTGAAAGAAAAAAACTGCCAAGCAAGAATACCATAACCAGCAAAACTATCATTCAAAAATGAAGGCAAAATTAAGATTTTCCCAGGAAATAAAAAGCTGATGGCATTCATCACCACTAAATCCACCATACAAGAAACGCTAAAAGGAGTCCTTCAAGTAGAAATGAATGGACACTTGGAGGCTACCGGGAAGAAGGCGGAAGAGTAAGACGCGGAGAACCTTCCTCCCCACAGCTACTCCAGAAATACATCTACACGTGGAACAACTCCTATAGAACACCTACTGAACGCTGGCAGAAGACCTCAGACCTCCCAAAAGGCAAGAAAGTCCCCAGGTACCTGGGTAGGGCAAAAGAAAAAAGAATGAACAGAGACAAAAGAATAGGGACCGGACCTGCACCAGTGGGAGGAAGCTGTGAAGGAGGAAAGGTTTCCACACACTAGGAAGCCCCTTCGCGGGTGGAGACTGTGGGTGGTGGAGGGGGAAAGCTTCGGAGCTGGGGGGGAGAGCGCAGCCACAGGGGTGTGGAGGGCAAAACGGAGAGATTCCCACACAGAGGATCAGGGCCGACCCTCATTCACCAGCCCGAAAGGCTTGTCTGCTCACCCGCTGGGGGAGGCGGGGCTGGGAGCTGAGTCTCGGGCTTTGGTCCGAACGCCAGGAGAGGACTGGGGTTGGCGGTGCGAACACAGCCTGCAGGGGGTTAGTGCGCCACGGCTAGCAGGGAGGGAGTCCGGAGAAAAGTCTGGACCTGCCGAAGAGGCAAGAGACTTTTTCTTCCCTCTTTGTTTCCTAGTGCACGAGGAGAGGGGATTAAGAGCGCCGCTTAAAGGAGCTCCAGAGACGGGCGCGAGCTGCGGCTAAAAGCGCGGACCTCAGAGACGGGCATGAGACGCTAAGGCTGCTGCTGCCGCCACCAAGAAGCCGGTGTGCGAGCACAGGTCACTATCCACACCCCCATTTCCGGGCAGCCTGTGCATCCTGCCACTGCCAGGGTCCCGGGATCAAGGGTCAACTCCTCCAGGAGAACGCACGGCGCGCCTCAGGCTGGAGCAATGTCACGCTGGCCTCTGCCACTGCACGCTCGCCCCGCATCCGTACCCCTCCCTCCCCCCGGCCTGAGTGAGCCAGAGCCCCCGAATCAGCGGCTCCCTTAACCCCGTCCTGTCTGAGCGAAGAACAGACGCCCTCCGGCGACCCACACGCAGAGGCGGGGCCAAATCCAAAGCTGAGCCCCTGGTAGCTGTGAGAACAAAGAAGAGAAAGGGAAATCCCTCCCAGCAGCCTCAGAAGCAGCAGATTAAAGCTCCACAATCAACTTGATGTACCCTGCATCTGTGGAATACATGAATAGACAATGAATCATCCCAAATTGAGGAGGTGGACTTTGAGAGCAAGATTTATTATTTTTTCCCCTTTTTCTCTTTTTGTGAGTGTGTATGTGTATGCTTCTGTATGAGATTTTGTCTGTATAGCTTTGTTTCCACCATTTCTCCTAGGGTTCTATCTGTCCATTTTTAAAAAAAATTTTTTTCTTACTAATTATTTTTTATTTTAATAACTTTATTTTACTTTATCCTCTTTCTTTCCTTCCTTCCGTCCTTTAGACAACGAATCATCCCAAATTGAGGAGGTGGACTTTGAGAGCAAGATTTATGATTTTTTTTCCCCTTTTCCTCTTTTTGTGAGTGTGTATGTGTATGCTTCTGTGTGAGATTTTTGTCTGTATAGCTTTGCTTGCACCATTTGCCCTAGGGTTCTATCCGTCCGTTTTTGTGTTTTAAAATTTTTTTCTCTTAATAAATATTTTTTAATTTTAATAACTTTATTATATTTTGTCTTACTTTATTTTATTTTACTTTATCTCCTTTCTTTTTTCTTCCTTCCCATCTTCCTTCTTCCCTCCCTCCATTTTTTCTTTCTTTCTTTCTTTCTCTCTTTCTACTTCTACTAATTCTTTCTTTCTACGTTTTCTACCTTTTATTCTGAGCCATGTGGATGAAAGGCTCTTGGTGCAGCAGCCAGGAGTCAGTGCTGTGCCCCTGAGGACGGAGAGCCAACTTCAGGACACTGGTCCACAAGAGACCTCCCAGCTCCACATGA